AGGAATGCGAGGAACAAATGGGGATTCAGTCTGTCGTGTACATCCCTCAGCGTGAGATATAAATAGGGTAGGATAAATAATAAATGCGTTGTGGCTGGACACAGTTTGCTTTTTTGTGTCTCTAGCTAGACATCTTTTAATGACGAAGGAGTCTCATTTCAAATCAGAAAGGTCCTGTTTGTGGCTGAAATGGAAAACTAAATTGGTGAACTTCTTTCTTATTCTTTTTGCGGTTTCTTCTTGTGAAGTTGTGGCCTTCGGTTTGTGTCGCTCAGCTGCAGACCTGGCTGCTTTTAGGACCCTTTGGCTCATAATTCGGAGTCGGTGTAATAAGCACTTAATGTGTTTATAAAACTGCACACTAGAAGAGCGGGGTCTGCATGGGCTTTTCACTGGGGAGCGAATAGAAGCTTCTGGAATCAACAACCTGCTCCTAAGGGAATGTCTGCGATTCTCTTCTAACAACTATTTCCAAGTCATGTTTATTAATTGCAAAGACATGGTTTTGTAATTAAAACTTTGCTTTGTAAAGCAAAGATTTAGTCTTTTAAATTTGTGAATTGGTTTCATAAGTCCTTCCAGAACATACTTCGTACTCAGGAAAATGTTACAAAATCTGCTTGTTAGGTTTACCAGTGTGTCTTTAAGTCCTTTCTTAACCCAAAAAGCATTTCTGAAGATGTGTTGAAAACACAATACTCACAAATCCTGCCTTCAGGAGGCTTTGTTTTGCATTTAGACGAGGCTGCCGTAGCTGCAGCGCAGGTACCGTTTGCACCCTGAGGTGGGATTATGGAACAACACCCAAGCTACATATATCGCTCATCCGGTCTCGTGTGGTACTGAACGTGAGACTATACAGAAAGGAGTTGAGGTCCCTGGAAATAAGAGATGGAGCTGATCAGGAAACCTGTGATAAAATAGTTTTCACATGGGAAATAATTTTTTTATTGGAAAATTATAAAATGCCTAAAAAATGTTGTTTTCTTAATATCTTCAACTGCGTCACAGCAGTTGCGAAATAATAACTAGGCTGCTGGAGACCTCGAATTTCCACGTTTTCCCTCCAGAAAAATCAAGTGTCACTGGGAGCTTCTCCAGTATCAGCATGACTTAAAGAAAAAAAAAATTACCCCTAAATAAGATACGTCTTTAAAAACTTCCTTTTCTAAACAAAATTTTTCAATTTCTTTTGTTTTGTTTTAGTTTGGAATCTGTTTTTTAATACCAAAATAGAAGCCAAGCCCCAAGTTTCAATCAGTTATAATCACTTTCTCCTCTTTTCTCACACTCTAGGTTGGGTCACTTTGATTTACTCTCACCAGCATAAAGGAAAGCTGCGACTTTCTATTTTCTTGTGAAATACACTGTAGGCAGGTATCTAGGGAATGCATGATTTCCCATTAGCAGCAATTGGTCTCTATGAATCTCTCAGTTCAGACCAGGATAAGTATTAAATCTGAAGTTAACAATGTAGAGAGATCCTTAGTGTATTCTTTCAAGTTATTAAAATTATCTGTCCTTATGTGATACATTGTTATTGCAGTGATTATCTTGCTGGAAGGGATCATTAAAGAGGATATTAATTGCACATTATTTTATTTTAATGTCATGATTACAATGGAGAAAAGATAAATTATTACTGCTTGTAGTGTTTTAGGATAATAAAGAAATGCATCTCCAAAAATAAAAGAGTAGTTGAAAAGGCTGTTCTTTAACTTCTGTCTTTTGTACTACTTTTAATAGCCTTATGTTCAACTGATAGAGGAGTAATTTTACAATGTAATGCTCTTACATTTGTAATTGAGTTGCTAAAATGTTCTGCAAATTAGATGGTCTCTGTCCAAAGTCACAGCATGAACTCCTGGCCTGTGATGTACAGCAAGGCCAACTCTAGAGAATGAGTTCAGCAAGGAAGAAATCCGATCAGAAAGGATGAACTGTATCTCTACAATTAAAATTATCCAGCATCCATGTAGCTAGATTACAATCACAATCTACTTCACTAACTTTTGCCTTCTCCCTCTTTCCCTTCTTTTTTCTTCAGTTTGGGTTTGACACAGGCAGGATGTCCCAGGCCATCTCCACAACTAAGATTTAATTATGGGAGTACACGTACAGTCCTACCTCCAAGAACTGTTTTGTGATCCTGTGCCACTCACAACGTGGAAATGCCGGGCGATAGAGAGCTGTCTCGAATTCAGGCTCTGCAGCTAACGCTTTAGGTTGAGTAGTGGATTAGCTTTGAAAAGCTTTCACTGATGAAGAAATTACTGAGTGAAGATGACCGCTGTTTCTGAGCTTTTCTTTAGAAACTGAAGTTTATATATAGTCCCCTTAAGAAAGGTGGAGGATTTGGGGTCAGCTATCAGAAGTAGATCCTTCACTTCTGGCTTTCCTGTGTGTGTAACATTTATTTTGCTTGCGAAGCCTTAGGCACCACACACCAGGGTGTGTTTGGGGGATTTTCTCTTGCTGAACATGTTACTTTTGGCAAAGAAAAAACAATAATGGAAAGAAACAGAAGATTTTGGCCTAGTAGAATGAATTTTTGCATTTCCTCCATGATTTTTTTTTTCCTTAAAGAAAAAACACATTAAGATGCTTTTAGAGCCTCTTTTAGGCTTGTTAAGCAATGCCTTCCTTGTCCTGACAAATCAGACACCCACCCCTGCTCATTTCTTTGGAAGTCAGTGTGAGTGATTCTTACCTCCAACAGGCCTTATAGATTGTGATTAGCTTCTTGTTTCTGGTACCTGCTTTTTCCTAAAGCTCTGTGCTATCCTTGAAAGGCCATATTCAATGGTAGGTGGATGGACAACTCATATAACACTTTGGCTAACAAATACAAGCTTTTCTTCTGCTTCAGCAAGCTTCTTCCTAAATCATTTTTCTGAAACATAAACATGGAATATCTATAACATGGATTACCAGTTGTGATGCATTGA